TGTGTCTAGAGAGCTTCTGCCTTTGCTGAATGACTTTCAAAGCTACAAATAGATGTGGTTCCCTCTAGCATGACTGTGAGAGGAGGTCTGAGATTCCTTTGTTTTGTTATTGCATTTAAAGGGCTTGAAGTTAAAAAAGGAATGTAGAGCAGTTTTGTTGGTTTCTTTCCCTCACTTCCAAGAGGGTTTGCAGGCACTTAGGTTATTTTTAGTTCTATTTTAATATATTCCTGTCTCAGGAGTAAAATGCTTGTAATTGTTGGAGTTTCTGAAGACTTTGATAGTGCCAGTCTAGGAGATGGCCTAAGAATCAGGTGTCACACTAAGTCACAAGTTGACATGATTATGTTGTGTCTGAAGAAGGTCTCAATACAGGGGTAAGAAGATCATCTCCTTGGTGGTGTCACCAACGATTATGCTGAACACCAGCCAAGAGCAGCCAGTAGTGATGGAGAAATTTGGGGGACTGAAGTAGAGAGATCTGTAGAAATAAAGAGATTTGCTACAGACAGAGATGGTGATGTGTTGTCAAGATGCAGATTTGAGGGACTCCAGTGGTGGCTGCCTTTGGGGACTGCAGGAGTTTAAGGCTTTGCCAAAGCTGTGGGGAATCTGCAATGGTGAAAATATTCTTGGAATACAAGAACACAATAAGTTTATAGAATCATAGAATTGTTAAGGCTGGAAAATACCCCTTAGATTATAGAGTCCAACTGTTAACTCAGCACTTCACTATGTCCCCAAGTGCCACATCTACATGTTTTTTGGACATTTCCAGGGATGGTGGCCTCACCACTTCCCTGGGCAGCCTGTTCCAATGCCTGATCACCCTTTCAGTCAAGAAATTTTTCCGAACATCCAATCTAAACCTCCCCTGGTGCAACTTGAGGCCATTTCCTTTTGTCTTGTTGCTTGTTCTGCGGGAGAACAGACTGATCCCCACCTGATGCCCCTCTTCTACATTTGACTCCATTTTGTTCCTGTCAACTCAGCTTAGTTACTTAAAGCTTCTAATTATAAATCTGTGAAATCACAGGCAGCATTTAATGAATCTAGAACACGTTGTTTGAGTCATTATGATATGTGTTTATCACCTTGTTATTTAGCTCAGCACCTGGTGCTGCTCAGGCTGGAAGACACAGAGCTGGCAATGAAGGTATCAGATTGCTGACCAGCCTGCTTGGCAGGTCAGGTTACAAATCAGAGTCCTATGATTAACTTGAACTATTAGAGTACGTGTGTCTAACTTCTCTTGTTAAAAGTGCTCTCTGCTGGAGGAACAGTGGATGGAAGCGCTGGACCACAGCTTGCAAAGTAATGTTGTAATTCAGCTGCTGTTTTAAAGAATTGAAGATGGCAGGACTTGAAAATCTCAGTCCCTGGAGGGTCATATTTAAGGCATATTTCCCAGAAATTCAGAACAGTGTCTAAAGAAGCTGTCTGTTTTTCATTTTCACTGACATTGCTAAATTCTCTTGAGCTTGGCCATCTCCTCTGCCAGCTATGAAGTTTGACTGTCGATTGCAATAGGCACAAGAGAAGCTTTCCTGAAAATGCCCCCCTGTGGAGGGGAATATTTCTCCACATGGCAAAAATTGACTATGTTAATTTGTCTAAAAACATACAATAGAGAAGTCAGATTTAAATTCACAAGCATCTAACCTTTTTGCAGTAGTGTACAGAAGACTGCATGTAAAAGCACAGGGCAAACTTCTGTGCCTGTTTCATTTAAACTGTTTGACAGTTTCCTTTTTTGTTACTAGGCAGCACAAGGAGGAAACTCTAGGTTTGGCTGTGTATTGTCTCTAGCAGGATTGATTATAAATTTCCTTCTTAATCTGCCTCCATGTTTGATCTTCTCTTATTTTTAAAACCAGAAGAGCAATCATTTGTTATCAAAGCTGAAAAGAATACAAAGGTATCTGGTATAAAATTAAACACTGAAAGGCCATTTCAGGACTTTACAAATCAGTATAATCTCGTAGTTATAGCAGAAGGCAAGTGAGAAAGACCAGTGAAATACCACAGGGCAGGAGTTGCACATTATTACAGAACAACCTTGCCTGTAGGAAGACCAACTGTGCAAAAGGATGGGCCCCAGTAATTGTGGATACTGTATACACATGATGTGTTATGATGGTCTCAGGGGACACAATTGATTGTACCATCCACGCATGCAAACCAGACCATAGGTAGCTAAGAACTGGGGCATGAAAAACAGTTTAGGATTAAAGGTTACATTTGGAAATACAGTGCTAAATTACTGGACTGAAAATGACTACAATGAAAGAACAGTTGCTCCCTTTTCTATTAACAGCATTTTCTGACAATCACAACATATATTCATTGTAGAAAATGCTATTTAAAGAAATTCTCTATTAAAGAATTATTTTCCTGTCTAACAGAGATGATGATGAAAATTCCTCCTTTCATATTTTTTTCTTTTTTAAGACATAAACATCTCAGCTACCAAGTAGTAAGTCTACAATTAATTAAATACTTTGCTAATGATATGCTTATCATTATACACCACTAAAAAAAATGCTTTTCCGTTCTGAGCACTTTAATGCACCATTTTTACAGCTGAAAGTGTGATGTCATGTTTTCCTCTGGGGTTGGTTTGTTGCTGTCAAACAGGGCAAAGGAGATGGGTCTGCAGAGAGATCAAACTGAACAAAGGCATTTTTCCTTCCTCTTTGAGAGCTGAGCTCCATACTTTTAGCTTAAAGTGCCTAGTCCAGGACTATACAGTTCTGTCCAAGAACTTGTTCTTGAGGATTTCAGGCTTCCATGTGAAGAGCTGGGAGACCCTCACCAGAGCTGGACCTTCCAGGAGTTCCCAGTTCTATAGTGGGCACGCTGACATCCTTGAGGCTCCCAGATCCATGGCAGTCCCCTAGAAATGCTGTCTCTAATCTCAGAAGCCTCAAGCTTTGACCAGCTGACAACTTTCATTACAAAACCATGTTGAGCCATTTCCCACCTTACAGTTTCCTGGTTATTTCCTCAAGGAATCCCGATATGTGCAGGTGAGATACCATTGCAATGTATTTGGGATGGGGAAGGTCAATGGGAACACACTGTCCCAGCACAATTTAATCCTGTCTTGCAGAAGAGCATGTGCCACACCAGGTTGTATCCATGCCACAGCCATGGTATCCCTCACACAGCTGGACTTGGTGTTTTCCCTGTGTGTTTCCCTTGGTGTTTTACCTTATCTTATGAAGCTGACAACCTGACATGTATATTTATTGAATAATATATATCATCACACGACTTCCTCCTTCTCTACAGCATCCTGAAGTGCATACTACATTTCTAGAGCAAGATACAATCAGGGGAAAAAAAACCTAAGGAAATCACAGTAAGTGATACTGTATTGTTAAGATTCTGGAACTGTGAAAAGATTAATTACTCCTTTCCATGAAAAGACGGTTCTTATCAGAAAACACTGACAACAACTCTATTCATGAACAAAAATCTGTTTTTGTTGGTGTTATTTATTTGCACTACAGTTACAGCAAGGTGTCTACTCAGAGAAAAGCACTAGATGCTTTACATATAAGTGAATAGTCCTAAGAGAATTCCATGCTTAACCTTAGACAAGGGAAAATAGTTAATATACAGTACAAAGGAAAAAGTAGCAAAGAAAGAGTTGAAAGTACCCAAGAAAGCACAAATCAGAACACCTGCTTAGCAATATATAACCAGCGAGTTACCACTGTTATTTACATCTCTGAGCCTCTCCTCCCTCTCACCCCTACCCAGGGTGGTGCTCAGTGTGTGGCACTGTTGCCACATGTGGCATTAAGCCAGTGAGAAATCATAGCTAATGTTACATTAGTGAGATGCTAGAAACAGAGATAAAGTATCTGGTTGAAGAACTAATTAAAATTTGAAATTAACTTTTAGTTCATAGAAAGGGAGCAATCATTGCTGCTTTTTCTCACTTGAGAATGGAACACTCCATGTACACAGGCTTTGCAGTACTGTATTACTTTCTGAGTTCAGCCAGTAATGGGAGACTGTTTCATGTTCCCACTTTTTGTCTACTGGACTTATTGCACTCATTTAAATTAAAACATAGGATTTCTAAGTTGGTTTATTTAAGGTTATCATCACCAAAGGAATTAACCTCTCACTTCTGCAGTTCTTGTGTAGTTTGGTGTTGCTTCCCTTTGCAGTGGTTGCATAAAGCCAGGCAATCCACAGACATACCGTTTTGTACTTAAAATACCAGTGTGCTGTGTGTGCTGCAGGAGACATAAAGGTGAGACTCTTATCTGACCTCTGTGGGTGTGTTACTGTTCTTAGAAGGAATATGGATTATATATTTTTCTCCATGAATTTGCCCTAAGTTTGAAATTCCGCCATTATACCCAATACCCTACAAAATGACCATTACCGACTATCCCACCTCTACTACTACTAGCAATGGATGCCTCAATGTCACAGCAGTAAAACAGAGATTTATGGGTTTTTGCAAACTGGGGGAAGAAAAAAAAGGTTAAAAAGGCATGTAAAAAGAAAGTAAGGCTGATTTGAAGCAAGGAAAAAACCAAACTAGGGATTAATGATGTACTCTAGACAGGTAATGAAGCTGTGGGACTACTACTGGGATGAGTTTATTGCCAGGGCAAAGTTAAATTACAACAAACTAATTTACATAAAAGGTCTTGGAATTCAAGTAAGCAAAGATAATAGTGTAAAAAACATGAATAGATCTATGGAGAATTTGGATGATGTAGGTATTATGAGCACTCTGGACAAGAGGGAGTCATCTAATAGGGTGTAGTGAGAGTGTCCAAAGACAATTTTAATCCTGCCAAGTCAGTGTGGAAGTGAATTTGGCTTCTTCATAGTATTAGTTTAGTAATGTAATAACCGCACAGACATTAAGCAAATATTCTGTTATATTTATAATATTTTTACAGATTAAAAAAGTTTAACGAGTACAATGTTTTCAGTAATTGCCTAAATAAAAGCACGTAATAGTGCTTCCTGTTTAATATCTTCTATTCCCTGCACATTAAAAAACTGCCATTTAGTATCACCTACATGGCAGAAATAACCATCCCAAGACAGCTATCACAGGTGGAAGCAACTTCTGCAGTTTTAGTTCAAGGTCATCCAACATAGCTGGCTTCAAGTTTTGCTTCCCATCTGGAAAGCCAGCAGTATCAGGTGCTGGCAGATTTCCCAAAGAAAGTGTTTCATGATGGCAGTGGATGCTGTTTTATAGGCATTTTTCACAGGCATAGGCAGTAACTGTGGGTGATGTCACCTGTACTATTAATATTTACTGGGTCCAAACATGCCAGTGCATTTTAAAATGCATGAATTTCACACTACAAATGATTTTGAAGTTCAGTTTTGATCTGATTTGTATCACAGAGAGGTCTGAGGTTTTGCTGCCTGTCTCTGTCAGCTGAACTAAGCTAACACATGCATTATCCATTTTTACAATCATGTCTTTCAGCACAGCAGATTTCCGTGCCCCCAGTGATGTGAATCCTACACTGCTTCTGAAGACACACACATCCATAGCAGTAACACATTAAATGTGCAACAAAGAGGATGCTGCCTGAGCAGCTCCCTCAGCTTTTGGTTCTGTTATCTCACCAGGAAAGAGAGAAAAAAAAAGGAAGTGGGACAGAAGAATTAGGAAGGGAGAGTGTGCATGTTCTGAAATGGTATGTTTGCTTTCTTTAACAGCACAGACAGATTGAACATTTACAGTTTGACCCAAAACTCTTTTTATAGTGAGCATTTTAAGAAATGAGCTGAGAGAAGCCTGAGAAGCAAATGAGGGGGAATGCTGGCAAGCTATAATCTGGTGCTTTTCCGTACATATTGTCTCCTTCATATCAATACATACAGACTTCTCAGCTATTCTAAAAATAAACCCAGAAGAGCTGGAGATAGCATATGATGGCTTCAAGCTATATTTTCATTTCCTGGGCTGGCTGGAGATGGTCACAACAGCTCCTGGCATAATTTTATGAAATTTCATAGTATCAGAAGCATTGAAGGAGAGATGCTACAAACAGCCACAATTTCTACATAACATGGACATATCCTGAGGAGGTTCATCCTGGGCACTAAGTGAGACAGGGTCTCAGGACAAAAATAGAATTTGATAATGTAATTACAGACCAAATCACAGTGCATCTGCTCTGCTGTGACTGTGGCTGCCTGAGCTAAAATGAATTGTGCAACATAAATTGTGGCATTACCTAATTGAAGAAGACTTGATTTTATAATCTGAAAACTGTTTCCATATAAACTTCAGGTAATTCTTCATAGCAAGCAGGTATTCAGCTGGAAATAGTATGGACTTCCTGCATATGGAGAGCACAGCTGCCTTCAGCTGTCCTCCTTTTCTTTCTAAAGGAGGAAATAACAGCAAGGAGCAAAGCAAAGGACACATTTACAAAGACTAATCTCTGACTTGAAATTTGCACTATGGTCTGGGAAACATGATGACCTGTTAATCGATTGTTTCAGATGATTTTGCTTTCTTTATTTCTTTTTATCCATAAAAAGAAAACCAAGAATTATCAGAATGCTGGTCTCTTAAAGTATACACTACAGGATGAACCATTTCACTGTGGTATACAGCAAACATTCTGTTAAATAGATAAAGGAGTTCGGCTGCTTCCCTTGCTTTTCAAATCAAAAAATGTCACAGGACAGCTAAGAATATGCTGTCACACATCTAATTTTATTGAGTTCCACCCAGCAGAATTAAAAAGCTGTGTTCTGCAATAAGGAAACCTCACAAATTTGAAAAACAGAGATGTCAATTAGAGTTTCTGTACTGTATGTTTTTGTTTCACTTCAGAGTTCCACAAAGTCACACTGTTTAAATGTATCTTTATGTGATCACACTTTGTCTTTAAGCACTTTAGCTTTTTATTACTGAAATGAAGTCTCACATGATGTATACTGCACCAGAAAGGGATTTCTGCTTCTCTCTGCAAGGCAGAGACAAAAGAGTGTACAAAGGACTGCGAAGCAGTACAAATGAGAGAAAAATCACATGTATTGAAACTGTATAGACATTTCTGCCTTAACACTTTTTACTGTTTCACTTTTAAACAGGGTAAAACTTGTTTCCACTGTTCTCACAGATTGTTTTTTCTGTATTTTGAGGAAGTTTTCTTTACTACAGGGGTAGTAAAGAATACTACCTGTATTTGTCTAAGAGTAAACACAAGTATTCCCCTCCAACAGTGAATTCTTGGTCTGTCACTATAAAACAATATGTGTTACTCTGCGGGACTGGGGACAGCACATCATTTGAGGGCCTGGTATAGAGATGTGGTGAAATTGCAACAGATATCTTCTGCATTTTAAAATAATTCTGATGGATATTAGTACATATGTGTGTTGTTCACCAGCCAGGAATGACGCAATTTCTAGAAGCTGTCAGTAGCTGTCTGTCATTGTTTCATTTGCTGAGCTGTGCCCCGTAGACTGCACTGAGGTCAGGTTTGGACAGGGGTACGGGGCCCTCTTGGGTGCTGTACTTGGGGTGATCTGAGCAAGTGAGTGGTTTTATTGAAGAACAGCTAGAGGACACATGCATTTAACAGCCCTGCATCCAAATACTCCCCCGTTTTCACATTGGCCTTCAGGAACCATCTCACCACTGCTCTGCGGCCTCCCACAAGAGTCAGGAGCGCTGGAGGTGGTTGCTGGAAAAACACATTTTTTTGAAGGCCATAGCTGGCAGCCCACGGCCCTCTGTGCCACAGAGCCCAGCAGACAATAAGGGCAGAGCACAGAGTTTGGGAGGAAGGATAAAAACTGCCCAAAGCTGTTGTGGGAGGGTGTGTCAGGGCAGGGTCTCTGCAGTGCCCCACAGGCAGAGCAGCCATTTTGTGTGGCTTGTTTCCACCGGCGAGGGTGAGAGGTTTGCCCAGCCTTGAGTGGCTCTGCAGTGGAAGGGCCCTACGAAGGACTCCTTCTAAGTTTTAAAAATAAAGTGTACCCCTTAGTAAAAGAATTTTTGCTGCCCTTTCCCTTATTTAGCCAGAATAATAAAACTGCAGGCAAGTGACGTACTTTTATCTGGTGACTGACTGCAGTATTACTGAGTTACTGTTCCTTACTGGATGTCCAAATCTCTTTCTAAAGGTGGAAAAATCCTTCCTGAGGAGATTAACCTTTCTGTTGATGGGCCAGAGCAAAGACCGTGAGTAATTTTAATATCCAGTACAGCACAAAGCAACTTGCTTATTCACAGTATGACTTGCAAAGAGGTGGGGGGAAATTCAGAAACTAAAAAAACCCCAAGTTTTGATGTTTTAACTCAATTACAGAAATGTATGTGAATTTTTTTTCAAATGTAATTGAAATTTTCCTCACTTTGATTTTTGAAAACTGAAAATCTGGGTTGGTTGAATTAATTGTATGTTTGACAGACACAGGCTAGCAGATGAGACACAGAGCCTGCTTGGATCTGTGTGAGAAAAAACCCCTACATATAGTTTTATCTGGGTTTTTTTAATGCTACTCCACTTTTTACGCCTAAAGCTATTAAATCCTTTTATACTTAGGTTTAATTCCACTGCCTGATTCTCAAATACTTTGGAACTTGCTTTGAAATAATGATGATTAAGTATCTGGCTTTTTTTGCTTCACCATCCCACTCGTTATTTCACCCTGACCGAGTGACTCTTCTAGCTATGATGAACTGTTCAGTAAAGATTTTATTTAGATACTGAAGTGTCACCAACTGTGAATGCTGTAATGTAACATTTGTTTAGTGACGCATGAGCAACAGGTTTCATTTTATCCCTTTTGTTGTTCTACAGACTTCATTAATCAGGCTGGACAGGGCTCTGAGCAAGCTGATCTAAATGCAGATGTCCCTGCTCATTGCAGGGTGTTGGACTAGATGGCCTTTAAAGGTCCCTTCCAACCCAAACTGTTCTGTAATTCTGTGTTTTTCTAAGGACTCCTCCATGTAGAATTCGTATCACTTGAAGAGAGACACGTGCTGTACACATCACAGCTGAGGAACTGCCAGAGAGAACATGATCTCACATAGCAGCAGGAATAGGTTTTACTAGTTCACACACAGAAGCATGAAAATTGCAAACCAACTCCAGGTCCACTGAATATTTAGAGCTTGCTAGGGTTTTTCTTTATTTGGGTTTGTTAGGGTTTTTTACTGGCTGATATGCTATCCTGGAGCAGTTTTCTGCCACATGTGTTTTGTTTGGGCAAAATGTTGACATAACAGTATAAGACGTTTTGTTGCAGAGCTGTTTTAAATGTCAGTACCGGTGAGTTTTATTATTATCCCATCTTGATCTTCTTTATGCATCTTCTTCAAGGAAAACAGTAAATTCAATTAGCAGCCTTAGAGCATGTTCCTTTCATGGACTGAACCTGCATCACTCCAACACGGGAAGAGCTTGCTGATTTCCATCAGCAGCAGGTCTAGCTTGCAGTGTTTTGTTTTCTTAGTGTTGAGTGTGAGTATTTTTAAACACAGTGTCTGCACTGTGAAGAGTTGTGGTAGTTGCTGGTATGTGTAAGTATTGCTGACAGGCTGTGTGTGCCTCTGACAGGAGGGAGCCATGGCCACTGTTAGGGTTGGTGACACACTCCAAGCACAGCTACGATGTACCTTCTCCCAGGAGAAGCAGGATCTGACTACATGTGAATAAAAAGATCAGTCATACAGACAGACAGTGAGAAGAATGAACCATTACTTCAAAAAATGTAGCTAGAAATGTAAGCTGTGGCTGGATGAGTGATACAGAATTATTTAATCGTGTCCACGCTTTTATAAGAACTAAAAAACGCCCAGTTTAACTCAAGAGAATTTCTATTCTGTTGCTAACAGCATGAGGGGAAAAAAGGAGAATACAAACATACCACACATTTTTCTCTATTACCATGTGTGTGTTTTATCCTTTTTTTATAAGTGAAGAAAAAGCTAAAGCAGTTGCAAGAACTAAAGAGATGTGGTTCTCATTAAAGCTGGTCTGGAACTCCGTGGCCTGAGCGTAGGTGTAGTGCTGCTCGTTAGCAGTGTTCAAAGTCGAGTCTGCCTTAAACCTGTCTGAGGCGGCTCGGTTTCTTGTGGTTGGTTGTATAGGTCATTCCCTGGAGAATCTAGTCCTGTCAGAAGAAATCAATTACTAAAATTCATGACCTACATACAGACTTCTGGTCTTGGGACAGTGGCATTGCATTACTTCAGAAATCAACTGGGAAAAAAAATATGGCCACATATAAAGTCTTCCACAACATGTCTATGTATTAGAATGTATGTCATTTGCTTAGTTAAACAGATACAAATCTTGGACCACTGAGATAACCAGGACTTGTGCTGTTAATCTCAGCAAGAGGTCACTAAAATACATTTGGTATTAAAAGATGTTTGTCATTGAAGACAAATGCAGCCAAGTCCCTCTGTCAGTGTAAATTGTCCAGCATGAAAGGCAGCAAAGAACGGGTGCTGCTGTATTGCTTGGGTATCACTAGCAACATGCTTCTCTCTTGTCAGGAATACATTGCAAAAACATTTTTAAAAATTAGATAAAGTCAAATAGACTTTTTTTGGACTCCTAAAAGCTATTAAGGGAAGCACGTTCTAATTCTGGAGGTCTTTGTTAGTGAGAGAGGCTGCTTTTACTTTCAGACTTGATGAACCAGTATGAAGAACTTGGCTGTTGTAAACGGGTGCAGAAAGATGGGAAGCCTCCACAGGGCAGGAAAAGTCATGATCAGTGAAGTCCTGGTTTGCAGGTAGAGTCCCAGTGCAGAGACAGATGCTATCTCACCACTTCATTCAGTGGCATTAACAAACTGAATTTAACTGCCTCAAGGATTAATGAGCAGTATCAGGATGTTCTGCCACAGAGCAGGGAGCAGCTGGGCTTGAAAGCTGTGTGAATATCCCTGGAAAAGTGGTCATCTTGGCTCGTTGCAGCTGAGGGAATGAGAGGGTCTGTGGCAGTGTCACAGACCTCGGTCCCTCTTGCTGAAGACAGTGGTGGCAGCAACAACCTTGACTTTCCATGACTTAGAAAGGACAGACTGGGGCCATCTCTGGCAGTGGCTGCCTCTGTCCCCTGCCTGCTTTGCCAGTACCTGGGGCCAAGCCTTGAGGGGCCTCTGATGCTCAGAAGAGCTTTCCTGCCTCAGCCAGGGAACGGCTGGGAATGCTCCTGGGCAGCTCTAGGCAGTGTGTTAGGAGGAGACTTAAGGCAGGAAGAGAACTGTTGCACAGTATGAACGTCTGTTCTATTCCCTTTTCAATAAGCAATCTCTTCTGTGTTAAATCCCTTACTCAAACACCTGCTAGGCAATACAGAGTAAAGAGTGGGAGCATGGGGAAATGAAAAGAACAGACTGGATACCAGAACAAACAGAACAATCGCTCTCATTCACTGGGACAGTTTATTTCAGCACTTTGTTTGACATAGAAAATGTCAGGAGAAGTGCAGGGTCAATGATGAGGCTTCTTCTGGATTAAATTTATGTGCAAGCCAATAACCAAGTAGTTATTTGATTATCAGGAGCAGGTGTGACAAAACCTTTCCTGTTTACTTTATTTATACCACTTCAGCATTATTAAAGGTCAGTGCCACTATTACCAGTCCTTATCTCCAAAGGTGTCTAAGCAGTGATTCTGGGCAGAAGTCTTCTGGATAATACTCAAAGACAGATGTCTGTGCTGTTTGTGGGTGTGGTTTTCAACTTCCAGCAGTGCAAGTCAGGGCACTAAAATTAACCTCCAGGTGTAAGAGTCGAAGTACTTTGTAATTTAGTGTGAGAAAAGAGCAACTGAATTTTTTCAGACTACTGAAGCTTCATTAACACCAAGGGTCTGAGTTCAGCAGGTTTTAGATCTACTGAAGTTCTTGGACTGTCAGCAAAGGCATTAGTTTCTGACCTCAGATACTCATAGACAGACGAGACTTCAAAATAATATACTTCTTATTAATAAGTCAGTCCTAATCTTCTAAATTCAATTATTTAGGTATATAAACCTACTGACTTCATCATCAGAACTGAATCTATATTCTTGAACCTTCAGTGAGGATCCTATTCCTGACGTTTTTGGCAGTTTTGAGAATCTCTCTTGGAGTATTGTTATTTAATTTGATATATCACAATGTGTTTTGTGTTCATAACTTAATGCCTTCCATTTAACAAATGTCAAACCTTGGCTGCTATTAATGCAGAACACAGTGTGCTCTCTTGCAACATGAACTGTCTAAGACCACTAATGAAGTGAGGAATAAAGCCTGAATTAGGTTAGACTGTGGAAGGTCCAAATCCCCCACCTGTTGATATTTTGTTCAGACAAATATCCTTCCCACAAAGGATTGAAATCAGGCATGAAAATATTCTCTGTTGACACATACTTTGCTGAAGGTTCCTTTTGTAAGTAATAGATCTGCAAATCGTGCTGAATAAAAAAAGTAATTTCCTTTGCAACTACAAAAATCATTTCCCAACGGCATTTTGCAAGTGCTCACCTAACTGGGATGCTCTTTATCTTTCTCCCTTTTAAATGTCAAGGAGATAAAAGTCTTCTAAATAGCACTCTTTCCTATTTTGATTAATTTTGCATAGTGTTTTCCCAGAAGTATTGATACTTACATAAACCTGAGTTCTGATTCTCTTCTGACTAAGACTTCCCGAAGTCTCTGGATCTTTGCCATCTCAAGCTCAATTTCCTCAGGCATCATTGTTGTTTCAGCCATTGAAATGATGTCAAGTTGATCTGTGTGTGAAAGCAGAGAAAATGAATTAAGCCAGTCAAGCTGTCTAAATGGTGTTTTTTAGGAATGTAAATTAAATCACAGAGCTATCTGATTATGGGGTAATTAATACAAGCAGTAAAAAATATTCTAGCTGAGTGCTATGTTGACTGGTTTTCTCTACTGTTTTGCTTATTACTTTCAATGTAACCATTTTGAAGTGAAAGAATCCCTAAGCCAAAGTGACAATCATTTTGTTAGTCAGACTTTGTCACACCTCTAAGGAATCCCCGTACATAACTACAGCTACAGCTATCCCTACCTGATATCACTCAAACTGAAGAAACAGCTGCAGATTGCTGCAAAATTCACTCTGAACAATTACTTGCAACTCTGGAGAGTCCTATCTTGGTGCAGACAATGTAAACTGATGAATGTTTCCATCTTTACTTCTTATACCACTTTA